AGGAGCATGGGGGGGTGAAGATATGGAGCGAGTTGACTGAGGGGCAAAAGAAGGGATCACACTTGCAGCAGGTGGATGGTGCCAGTTTTAAGAACCAAATCCAACAGAAGCCAAATGTCAATCAACAAACTCTTGTGTTTTGACCAAAGGGCCAAAACCATAAAACAAAATAAGAATGATGGGCACCTGTCTGGCTCAGGTGGTAGATCATGCAATTCTCGATCTTAGAGTTGTGAGTTCGAAGCCCACACTGGGTATAGAGATTACTTAAAAATAAACTCTTTAAAAAAAATAAGAACTACCTCTTTGCTTATATTTGATGTAATATACCTTAGAGCTAATATTACAATGCTTTCAGAAAGTGATGTGACATTCTAGGTGGTAATACTGAAGGAAACTAGCAAAAAGCAAAGGCAGAAAGCATTGTTTATGCATCCAAATTATATGTGCAGAATATACCACAGTCTTAAGAATTACGACAATCATAAAGATTTCTGAATCAGTGAAAAAAATATGAATTATAGAACACGCAAAACATACCGTTTTTGTTTTCTAGTATACTCGGTACACTCTTTTTATTATTATTTTTTTAATGTTTATTTATTTTTTGAGGGAGAGAGAGACGGAGCATGAGCACAGGAGGGGCAGAGAGAGATGGAGAGACAGAATCCGAAGGAGGCTCCAGGCTCTGAGCTGTCAGCACAGAGACCGACGCAGAGCTCAAACACATGAACCATGAGATCATGACCTGAGTCGAAGTCGGATGCTCAACTGACTGAGCCACCTAGGTGCCCCTATTCAGCACTCTTAAAGCTCATAATAATAATAAAAAAAAAACCTGATGCAAAAATGGGCAAAAGATCTGAATAGACACTTCTGCAAGGAAGATACACAAAGGGCCAATAAGCACACAAAAAAGATGCTCAACACCATTAGTAATCAGGAAAATGCAAAATAAACCCACAGTAAAATACTACCTTTTGTCTACAAGGATAGCTATAATAAAAAAGATGGACAATAACATCTAAATGAAAAGTATGTGGGCAACATGGAACCCTCACACACTGCTGGTAGGCTTATAAAATGGTACAACTGCTTTTGGAAAATAGTTTGGCAGTAACTCAAAATGTTAAATATAGAGTTACCATATGACCCAGCAATTCCACTCCTAGGTATACAACCAACAGAAGTGAAAATTTATGATCACACAAAAACTTGTACAAGAATGTTTATAGCAGCATCATTCATAACAGCCCCAAGGTGGGAACAATCCAAATGTCTACCAACTAGTGAATGGATAAATGAAACATGCTTTTATTCATAGAATGGCAATAAAAGGGGGGTGAAGTACTAACACATGCTACAGCATGGATGAACTTTCAAAACATAACACTATGTCAAAGAAGTCCATCACAAAGCCTACATATTTATGAGCCCATCTATATGAAATATCCAGAATGGACAAATCCGTAGTGACAAAGTAGATTAGTGGTTGCTAGGGCTGGGAGGAGTGGGGAGTGTGCTAATGTGTGTGGGGTTTCCTTCTGAAGTGACAAAAATGTTTCAGAATTAGTGATGACTACACAACCTTGTGAATATACGAAATACCACTGAACTGCACGTACCATCGAATGGTGAATTTTATGGTAGGTGAATTAAGCCTCAATTAAAAAAAATTAGGATACCATTTCATATCCACCTGATTGGGAAATCAGAACACTTCCATCCTGTAGGTGAGAATGTAACTTGTGAAATCAAGCTAATAAGGCTCTGGCATCATCTGGTACAGCTGAAGCTGCAGGTGCCTCTGACCCAGCAATCGGACGCTACACGCGGGCATGCGTGCACTAGGTTATCACTAGAGGAAGGTTCAAAGCAGCACTGCTTCGGAACACCAACAAATTGGAAACAAAACTAAAGGCTTATCACCAGTAAAATGAACAAATCAATCATGGTATAGTCATAGAATAGAATTCTACAGACCAGTAAAAATCTATGAATTACAGCTACATGAAATCATGTGGATGGATGAAAAGAACATGATGTGGAGTGGAAAAAACCCCTATCTCTAAAGAATGCATCACTATGATCCCATTTACATAAAGGGGAGAAATAGGTAAAACTGAACAATAAATTGTTTCCAATTTATTGTATGTTTGTATCTCTAAAAAAAGCAAGTGATGATAAAAAAGAAATTTAAGAGAATAGTTACATTTAAAGGGGCAGGGAAGGACACAGAATGGACTTCAATTTTCTATGAGGAAGGTTTTAACAGGTCGGGGTTTGGCATTTAATCAGGGACAACGTGTGAAAGTGTTAATTAACATACCTGTGATATAACCTTCTAACGCCTTCGGCACCAGTGATTTAGCAAGTTTCAGATCCTCTAGAGAGCATTTGCCTGACTCCAGGCCAAAGGACATTCCCATCCGCTTCAGTACTTCTATGTCATCATGGATCTCAAAGGTGTTGTCAAAATTAAAAAGATATTCAAACCTGCATCAGAAAACAAAGTTAGAATGTGTTTCAGTGGTATAGAGGACATCTGCACAGTGCTGTACTCTGTACATTATATAAAAGAATGAGGGCCTAAATTCATCCTCAGTACTCGAAACTTATCGTTCAGAGCAGTAAGAGTCATTCTGCTGTGTTCAGGGGAATGACATCTCAAATACGCCACTTGCCCAATTAAAACAACTTTCTTATGATAGACAATAGGAGTCCATAAACTTCAGCCCTCATTAAGCTGCTGCAAACAGGGGTCAGAAACTTTGGTCTAAATCTAGCACTATTCAAAGTTGCCTTCAGCTTTTTCAAAAAGGTAAAATAGTAAGAAAGCCTTTCCAGTTTAATATAAGACATCCCTACTATGAATTGGCCTATATTAGGTTTGAGAAAGAAAACCATTTTGAATGCTTACTTCATGTTCATGAATCAAGTGTTAGCTGTACCATACTTTAGACAAGTAATAAATGGAAGACTTTTAACAAACGAACCAAAACTCAAATCCTGTCTTAAGAGCCTAAGAAGTGAAATATCTTAAGGAAAAAGTACCACATAAATATATAGCACATTTTCCCAAATGTTCTTGAAAATTACCAAATCAGGATGCCCGGCTACCTGATACATGCTTAAAAAAAAAAAAAAAAAAAAAAAAAAAAAAAGGTTAATGTAGGAGAACACGGTCCTTTTGACTCCTGGGCTTGGCCCAAGGGCACCTTCACCTACAGGCCTCAACCCTACAGGGACACAGTGCAGATGAAATGTTTTGGGACAATGGTGGGTTTATGCTGTCATAAAATTCTTAATTAAAATCATATGAAGGTAAAAATTATTTATGCTAGATTTTAGATCAGGGCAAAAATTCCAATTGAAAGTAAAATGCCATGTTTAAATAATCTGAAAAATATAAAGCTGAATAAAGGACATTAACAAATTTTCATAAAAAAACCCACAAAACAGAAAATCTTAAGTGTGTGCCTGTCATAGGGATGACCCTTGGCATAGGTTAAAAACAGATGGCTTTGTAAATTTAATCCCCTACATGAAAAAGCCTCCAGGCTAATTAAGGGGGAAAGACTGCATCATCAAAGTAACTGAAAGACAAGGCTTTAGGGACCTACCTTGAATAACAAGTTTCTACAAGCAGCTCAGAGCCTCTTCCCCTTACTCAGGGAAGGGCCGGGCAAAGGCAGGAGTCAGTAACCACCCACGGATGGAAATCTTACCAGGCCCTAGCCTGGGGTGAACAGAATCTATAATTCCCTGAGACCAATGGTTCCCAGATATTCCTGCTACCCTTTTTAGACTTAGAAGACTAAATGATGAAGAGAATTTAATAATCCCTCACAAAACAAGAGGTAACTGGAGAGAGGAAGTAGAATTCTAAGTGTGTTTCTCCTAAAAATATGTTAAACATTCTCTAGGATTCTCAGTTTTATGAGAATATGTTAACACAGTCCCTTTAGATGTAGGTTTTTGTGAAGATTTACAAGTGTGTGAATAACACCGTCATGCACCATTTACTGAGCAGTGGGCTAGGTCCTTTAAGACTTTATCTACAACTTTTGAAAATCTGCAAGTTAAATACTGTAATTCTTACTTTTGTGGAAGAAGCACCAGATCTCAGAGAGTTTAAAAAACTGTAGCTAGAGGAAAGACTGAAAAATGGAGATTCTGACTTCATAGCCTACTGGGTCCCTATTTCTAATGGGGTCTAGGGTCTTAACTATCAAATACTTTTGAAATCCCTGCTCACTGTTTTTCTTCTTTTTCTTTTTGGCACCTTCTTATTTAAGTGACCTAGAATCTCTGTACGCCATCAAGATAAATAGGGAAGCAACACTGCCCTAGAAAAGAGTGGTAAAGACAAGGCCAAGCCCAAGGGCAATGTTGTAGCTCAGAGGAGACCAGAGGTCCCGGTCTCCGTGGACAGTTTTGGGCCATGTCCCTGGTACTGATGTAATTACTGAGCCCTCTTTCGCTTTCAAATGAATCCCAATTTGGTCAATAAGTTACATACTGACTCCTTGTAACAGCAGCAAATATTTATAAAGGGCTTGCCTTGGGTCAGATCCTTTATAGACACCATATTATTTAATCCTCACAACAAGGCCATCATGTGATAGAGGCCTTGGAATCATCCCCTTTAGTTCTTCAGAAAACTGCTCGGAAGCAGCTAAGTGGGGGGGAGCCACAAGCCACACTTGGATCTATCTCCCTCTACACCTTATTCCCTTCACTATCTCAGGACCCCAGTTGCAGCCTAAAGTCCACTACTTTTTCATGAAGGGTAAAATAAATTACAAACTAATTCTTAGCAGTACTTTCTAAAACTGCTACTTCTCACTTGCTATGATAAGTATCATCAATCTTAGTTAAAATGTAAAAACATTACAAATAGAACTACCATATGATCCAGCAATTCCACTTCTGGGTATATATCTGAAGGAAATAAAATCACTTTTTTTTTTTTTTTTTTAAATTTTTTTTTTCAACGTTTATTTATTTTTGGGATAGAGAGAGACAGAGCATGAACGGGGGAGGGGCAGAGAGAGAGGGAGACACAGAATTGGAAACAGGCTCCAGGCTCTGAGCCATCAGCCCAGAGCCCGACGCGGGGCTCGAACTCACGGACCGCGAGATCGTGACCTAGCTGAAGTCGGACGCTCAACCGACTGCGCCACCCAGGCGCCCCTAAAATCACTTTTTCACAAAGACATCTGCACCCCCATGTTCACTGCAGAATTATTTACAATAGCCAAGAGACACAGACAACCTGACTGTCCACTGACATACGAATAGATAGAGAAAATGTGGTGCGTGCGGTGTGGGGGTGTATACATGGAATATTTGGCCATAAAAAAGAAGGAAATTCTACCATTTGCAACAATGTGGATGGACCTTGAGGCATTATGCTGACTGAAGTAAGTCAGACAGAGAAAGACTGATACTGTATGATTTCACTTATGTAGAAAGACTGATACTGTATGATTTCACTTATGTAGAATGACTGATACTGTATGATTTCACTTATGTATGGAATCTAAAAAATAAAAATGAACTCATAGATGCAGAGAACAGATTGGTGGTTGCCAGAGGCGAGGGTGGGAAGTGTGTGAAATAGCTGAAGGTGGTCAAAAGGTATAAACTTCTAGTTATAAAATAAATAAGAGGGGCGCCTGGGTGGCGCAGTCGGTTAAGCGCCCGACTTCAGCCAGGTCACGATCTCGGGGTCCGTGAGTTCGAGCCCCGCGTCGGGCTCTGGGCTGATGGCTCAGAGCCTGGAGCCTGTTTCCGATTCTGTGTCTCCCTCTCTCTCTGCCCCTCCCCCGTTCATGCTCTGTCTCTCTCTGTCCCAAAAATAAATAAACGTTGAAAAAAAAAATTTTTTTAAAATAAATAAGAAAAAAAGAAAGCAGAGAATGCATCTAGCATTTTCATGTCCATTAATTAATAAACAGAAGCACACTCAACTACGGTACAGCAAAACAAAGAAACAATTGCTTTAATGCCGCACACTCATGTATAGTATTTCTACAATAAATGAGGAAAGTGAATCACCAGTGACCTTACCTTGTCCCAGGCCCTCACGCATGGTCTATTTTCAGGCAGTTACTTGCCCAGAGTTAGCACATAAGCGTACATATGTGCGCATCTTGCCTGGGCTCCAGGCTCTATTATGTATCTAGCATGGGCAGAACGGTGCCAGGCACACGAAAGGGCTGCAGAGAGTGAGTGAGGAAGAATGCTCCATGTCTGCAAAGGTGTTTCTCCTGCCCCAGGACGTCAGCCTTGGAGGCCTCACATTAGGAAGTACACCCTTCTTTATGTTGCAAATGATGGGAATACATTACCAGGAGGCCGGCCCTACTCTCTTCCCCTAGTTCTCCACTCACTTGTCACTGGAGATGCTGCAATCTATGACTGTTTTCCTGCTTGTATTGATGATTATAAATGGCAGCTGAATGGTGGAGTTCAGAGCTGGAGGGCCCTGGTTCTGCTGTTCATTTTGCCGATTTCTCTGAACCAGGTTTTTGAAAGCGATTTGCTGTAATGATCAATAAAAAGAATATGGTCATTTGATGTGGATAAATGAGTTAGAATTAAGTGAATTAAAATAAATGCATTTAAGAAATAGTTTAAAATTAGAGTATTTAATAAGGCCTTCCACCTATGAGTTCATTAAAATTAAATATTTAGGAAAGAAGATTAGAATGATCTAACTCAGATACATTTCAAGGGAAAAATTACGTTTAAATGATGGTGAACATCATCCTAATGTAAATAATGGGGCCCATGGTTTCCACCATCCACAGAAACAGGATCTTACAAATCTGGGAGAGCCCCATAGCGCCTCCAACTCAGAGTGACGCAGAGAGAATGACACTAAGTTGAACTTACATCTTCCATTTATCTAGCACAGACTCTTGGGAGTTTAGGGTTCAATACAGCTTTCAGACAGTCTAGCTCAGGGATAAAGCCAACTATATAAAGCCACAGCATCCTTTCTTCACACGAAATCTATGGGACACCCACTATATAAAACCCACTATATAAAAGTAGCGTTGCTCTGGCTGGTGCAGTGGGGCAGGGAGTCCAGAACTCAGCTGATCTCTGCCCTCGCTCACCCTTTAGGTTCCTAGGGTACCTCCACAGCCTCCACAGCCTCAGGGCACAGCTGGAATCTGGGTCAACCAGCTCCCCACCTGACATCTTCCAGATGAGAAACTGAGGCTTAGCACTCATAAGATATATCAAGGCCTGAACCTTTATACTGAATCTTGCTGCTACTTTTAATATAACCATTACTTGCAAGTCAAAGAAATGAATGTCCATCCCACTCCCTTTTAATAAGGCAAATGTGTCATAGAATTCCACAGCTAGAAAGACCATGCAATTCAACTTTTCCATCTGCTCATGAAACAGAGTGGTTTTAAATGCTCCTAAAGTCAGATCCATTCATTCCATCAGTGTGTCCCATCTTCTCACCCAGTAGGGATGAATTTAAGGTACTTTCTATGTTTCAGCAATCTTATCCTAGGATTGTTGATCTTAGGTTTAGAGCCTTAACAAGTTTGATTAAGATTATTTTTATCTTAGGGGTGCCTGGGTGGCTCAGTCGGTTAAGCCTCTGACTTCAGCTCAGGCCACAATCTCATGGTTCCTGAGTTCGAGCCCCGTGTCGGGCTCTGTGCTGACCGCTCAGAGCCTGGAGCCTGTTTCAGATTCTGTGTCTCCCTCTCTCTCTCTCTGCCCCTCCCCTGCTCATGCTCTGTCTCTCTCTCCCTCAAAAAGTAAATATACATTAAAATATTAAAAAAAAAGGGAACATTTACTCTTAAAATGCACAAAACAGATGGGACACCAATTTATTCTAGCCCCAACAGTGTGTCCAAAAATCACTATCAATATCAATCACTATCAAAAAACTATCACTGTCAGTACTATCAAATGTCATCAAATACTATCAATATATTGTTATTTTCTGCTGAAGAATGAGGGCTGTTATTGCTTAATTTACTTAATGTTGAAAGGAATATGCTATTACTGTAAACCTGAGAAAAAGAATGAAATGTCTGCCCTTCCTCCAATGCCATCAAATGATGCTGTTTGGAAAAATTTCCCAGCAGTTGTGTGGCTTAAAGAAACTCCCATGGTCATGTGACTGCAGATACTTCTGGGGCTGGTTGAATGCAGTGTTTCATAAAGTGGATTATGAACGCATCAGGGATGTGGGACCCGATAGGGCAGCATCGGAGTGGCTCCTGCACTGTGGGGCCATGGTGCGCTACCACGGCCAGGAGAGGTGGCAGAAGGACTACAACCGCCTCCCCACAGGACCTCTGGACAAGTACAAGATTCAGG